TCAAGCGCAAATTGTCATGGCAAAGTGTGTTGAGGACAAAAGGGATTACTTTGAAGGGCGATTAGTCGATTTTGAAATTTTTGCTCATAGTAGTAAGGATATGTAGCTGATTTTAGTTTGAAAAGATTATCGAGGATCAGAGAAAGTTTGAAAAGTAAGAAAATGTGGACAAGTTGCGAACAAAGTAATATTTAGAAAATTTCATTTCAGTTGACAACATAAATAAACAAATGAGACAACAACATAGTAATAATATTTGAAAGGTTGTCATTGCTGAATTCTCAAGACATTTTTGTCGTTGCATTGAAATAGTTTGATTATTGTAATTTAATTTATTTCTAACTGCTAGTTTTCAGGCTCACATTTCATCAATTCTTTGCAGTAAGTGAGCTCAAGGAAGGCAGCTGACAAGCCCACAAATAATTCAAAAAAATGTGTAGACTTAAAAATAACTCCAGTGGGATTTCTTTTTCCCTAACAACAATTACGCTAATTTTAGTAATATTTCTAAGAATATCATGACCAAACCCAACAATTATTTGCATAGTGCATAACATTAATCACAGTCAGTCAAACGACAACGTCACACTTAAAGACGTCACTGCTTTAAGAAAGTGCGAAAATACCTAAATTTCTAAATATGGCAAATTGCGAATGAGGGTGTTGGCTGAACATTTATTACAAAATTTGAAAAAAAAAAGCAAAATTTGAAAAGAGCACCGTCAAAGTAAACATAAGTAGGGGAACTTATTTGCACTTTATTTTTAAATATGCACACGTCAGGGAGTAAAGAAATAATTACTCCGGCACACATACCTGTGTATGTATGTATGTATGGATGTATTCTTCATTCGCAGTAACACTCAATACCCTAAGGTAAATAGATAGAGATATTTACGTATGACTGAAGACTGATGTATGTATGTACGGAAATGTCGCCACCCCGCCGCCGCTAACAGTTGCCAATACAAATGGCCATTGGCTGCTTACGACAGGGACGTCACAAGCACATAATTGAAATGCGTGTAATTGACAAAAAGAATACTCAAGTTTCAATACCTGTTTGTGTGTGCCTGCATTATGAATGCAATTACAACGCCCACATGCATAAACGTGATTAGCGCAGGTAACAGAGATCGAGCACACAAATACTTACAAACATATGTGTATGCTCTAGGTAAATGCCACGCTTTGAGCATAAATCTGATTTTATATGCTTGTAAGCAGCACTTACAACACCTTTCTGCTGCATAGTATTTCACTCAAGCGTGGCAAGAGCGTAAAATTTACAACTGCATTTCTGTCTGTGTGTGTGTGTGCGTTTGGCTGTAAGCGAGTGGCTAAGTAAGAGTTTGTTACTCACCAGCCCACTCAATGCTCACAGCCAAGCTATAGTATTAGGCTCGGTCTCAAAACAAATAACTACACATATATACATACAAAGCCATATAAATATATATCTATATATATACTATATACATAAATAGTTGGCGTCCATAGCGTAGGGGCTTGTGCCCTAGGGGTGTCGCCACAGCTGAAGAGTGTAAAAAAGCGTGCGTTTATAGGTGAATCTTACCTTCTTGTGCACCCATTAAGCGAATACACACACTTACAAATAAATATAGATATACATATATTATATACATAGGTATGTATCAGCGTGGCGCGTCTGGCTGCTCATCGCCGTCCTCTTGTTGCATGCGGAAAATGCCGATGAGTAATTGCAGAGTGCGCGCGTTTTTCTTCGTTCTTTTGCACGCCTGTTGGCTGGAACGCGCAGACGGACGGACACGCACCTACACAATATTTACACACACACACACATACTTATATCCGCTAACAACCATAAACACCTACCCATTTGCCACGATTTGCCATGATTGTTCTTGTTTCTTGTCTTGAGGTGTTGTTGTTCTTGTTGTGATTTCAACATTTGACTCAATTGAATATACACAATTATTTTCTAACTCATTGCTCGTAACTCTTATCCATAATTGTGAGGGAGACTCAAGCCGGCCCGCAAGTAAGCGTGTCGCGCTGACTAACGCGTCGCTTATTGGCATCTGTATTCGCGTGTGCGTGTGTGTGTGTATGTGTAAACGCTGCATGCCGGCGTTAACAAGCTCATAAGAGAGTCGGCATTCAAATGTTTTTAGTTAGTTCATATAAAGACTGCGAAACGTGAGCAACGCTATTATTAAGTATTAAATCGACAAATGAGCAACACGCAGCTCGGAGCAAAAAATAATAATAATATAAATTAATATTAATTGAAACGAACGAAATAAGTATTAAGTAAAGATTATATTAAATTATTAACACGTTATTAAAAGTCAAATAAAAGGCGCTGTGAAAATTAAAGTAATTAAAATTAATATAAATACTATTAAGCTCGTTATTAATTTATTTATTGCGAAGCACGTGACACAACGGAATTTATTGTCACGAATACGTAATTTGGCTGTGCAAAAAGCACGTGTGTATTCGAAAAAACGGAAATATTTAAAAAATCACAAAAACTTCATTTGCGATTGCAACAAATCAGCTGTTAAAGAGCAGCAAAAGTGAGAAAGAGAAGCAGCGAATTGGCTTCCAGTGCAAAGGCACTAACTAACAGTATTTTTTATAAGAGGCAAAAGGTAAGAATGAAGAAAAAAATGTAGGAGAAAATTAAATTTTAATAACAAATAAATTTAATAAAAATAAAAAGTTTTCGATAC